TTTTTTTTTTTTTTCCCTCTGGGCCTTAGGGAGCGCTGCTCCCCGCCCCGGCCCCCAGCTTTGCATAACTTGTCTCCCAGTTGTCTGTCCCTTCCTCGCTGCACTTTGCCCTTGCCCGGTGGTCTGTGGCGTGAGGGAGTGAAACTATTCAAGGACTGGGTTTTGTTTCTCTAGGGAAAGAGCTGGGTCACAAACGAGGCAAGCTATCTAATAATATACATATATATATGTATATTCCTTTTTCCCCCACAGCAGCCCAGTGTACAAGCAGGATTCTGTGACAGTACAGAACAAGGCCCTTGGGTGTGATTTTTTTTTTTTTAGCAAACCCTGGAGCAGAGATGCTATTAGCATGTAGAGTTTGAATGCCACAGGCAGTCTGTTGTCTCTTCCTGCTGAAAGGATAATTTAGAGGAGCAGCAATGACTCATTAATAGAAAGTATTAGTTGCAGGAAGGCAAAACCAGGTGAAGTTTCTTACTTTACCACAGACTTACTCTGTGACCTTGGATCGGTCTTTCTGCACCAGTCTGTCCTGTTGTGTTTGCTTATGAATTGGGAATAGCGGTGCTTTCCAAAAACGTTCTCTGAATAAACATACTAATGACTGTGAAATGCTTATCTGCTGGAGTAATAAAGGGTAGATAGTGATGCTATTTCTATCACAGAAGCAGAAAGGCTCTAGCCAGGATGTGAACTGTAGGAGCCACGCTTTGATGGAAATAAGAGCTTGCTTAAAAAGACATTTAATAACCTGTGATGTTACATGATTTGCACTGTGGTCATCTTGCATTTCATATTTTGATGTAGTGTGTGCTTTCAAAGAGCTGCTATTCTACACTGCAGATACTTTATGGGTGGCTTTTTTTTTCCACTTCTGTTTGGAACAAACCTGTGTGGTGTCCTCTTCCACTGCTAAGGAAAAACTCTGTGAATTTCTAATGTAGCAGATTATCTCTGATAGTTGACATCTCTGAACTACATGGTGCTTTTGAAAGGAAATACTAAGGGAGTGAAGGGAGTGACAATAAGTTCATTATACCTGTAATAAAAGGCAATGTTAGTTTTAGGAGCAGTATTTTTCCCCTCACGTTACTGGATGCTCTCTGTGGAAAATCAGAATGATTCCAGTATTTCATAGGTAAAAACCTAAATACAGGAGTGCAGGACTTGAGTGTCCTGGTTCACACACTGCTCTGAAGTGCAACCACTGCAATAGCAAATGGAACTCCCAAGCACAGAGCTGGGAGTTGCTGCTGCAAATCCTGACCTGAGTGAAAAAAGTTTTCTCTCTTTACAGTTTTGCTTAATACTGATTTGTGCAGCTAGACTAATCATGTTTTTTTCTATTTTTTTTAATATATTGTATAAGGTTACACCAGGAAGAAGCAATGGTTGCCTCATACACTGGGGATTTTTTGAAAGTAATTTGATATATAGTGTCTCACTTACCGACTCAATTTAATATGAAACTTCATAATCAGATTAACATTAAGTAGGAAAACTTTTGTGTTGAAGAAGAGGTAAGGACAACCCAGTTGGGTTTGGTTTAGGTTTTGTGTTTTTTCTTTTTTTTTGATGAACCCGAAAGTTGCTCTGGTAGAATGGCAATTCATTGTTAATTCTGAATATGTAGGTGCCCTGGAAAAATCAAATACCTGGTTTCATAGCTACCCTTAGGCATCTTTAATTTATGCAAGCAGGGCTCACTGAGTAACTACAGTAAGTCTCATTGACCTTAGTAGCTTTGCAGAGGTCATGTTTTAAAACGGGTAAGTTGTGCTTGAACTATTTTCTCAGTAAGTATTAGGAGCAAGTGTTTGTTTACACAATTACACTCTTTTTCCAGTTCTCCGTTACATTTTCTGTTTTTCTTTAGATTCTTGCTCATCTTAAAGAAAACTCTCATTAGGAAGGAACACAGGTTTTTGAAAACAAGTTCCTTTTCAAGATGAGGCTGTAGCAGAGCAGACTGTGAGGTTTTACAAACAGCCAGAAAGGCCCGTGTTGGGTTCAGAGAAACTTGGCCAGCACAAGCTGAACGTACACGAGTGACATCAGCATTTTCTGAGCCATTTATGCTGTTCACTTGTGCTGGTTCCCAGCAGTGCCTTGTGTCTTATGTAAGCTCACACTGTACATCCTGTCCTGCTGTTCTCATGCATGATAATTCACTGGCGTTATCTTACGGGAGGGCTTGAGAGCTGCTGCTGCTCTCAAATGTCTGCGTGCAAGTTTCCTATGAGCCAGGAGCACAACAGGGTCCTAGGAGACATCAGAGGAACAACTTGGAGTGAGACACAGCTTGTCCCCTGCTCCTTTTGGTAATAGAGCTGTAACCCCTGTGAAGTCATGTGGCAGAGGTTTTACTGGACTGAAGCCTTGATCTGTATCATATGTAGATCGTCCACTAATGCAGTTTTGATGGCTGGTGATAAAACAGCCATAAAACCCAAAGGACTTCAGTGTCAACAGAAGCCTCGATAATGCTAAGACTGGAAAATAAAGGCTTTTATTACACTGTCACTGCACACTTCTTGTTACAAGGTCTTTGGGAGGAATTGTGTCTTCAGATACTGATCCTTCAAACTTGTCCTTGCAGTTAACATTTAATCGTGTGTAATGAAAGTGCTGCCACTTGATGGGTGAAATTGTAACAAACCCTCCATTATAAGCACTAAACCCAAACATTTCTTCTGTTTTTCCTGCTTGCTAAATCTAACTGAAACCTGCTGGCATAAAACCCTGCAGTAAAGCAACGTGCATAATCTAGTTCTAAGTAAACAGAGCATCTTCTTTGAACAGTGTCTAATGTTTCATATTTCAGTCTCTTTTGTGCTGTAGCAGTGTGAGGGAGCCAAATTCCTGATTACCTGCCTTGGTGAACGTGGTTGTCCTTGTCTGACTCCATGGCTTGTTTGGAGCAGCTAGAAAGTTTCCTTATGAGTACTAATCTGGCACAGCCTTCTACAAGACTGTGAAATTTATAGCTCTGTAGGGAAACCACCTACAGAGGGAAGAAGGGTTGACCTGGAGGAGAAGTGCACCTGGAGAGGAGTGCTGATGTTCCCTATGGAAGTCACAGAAATCTTTCCTGTGACTTGCTCTGTACTGCATAAAACAGTTTCTCGTGGTAGTGGAGAAACAAGAGGAATGCAAGACATGACAAGGGGACTGGTTATCTAAAAAGGAACAGGTGCAATCCTTAGACACTGAACAGATTCCTTTAAATAAGCTGTTCTTGCAAGTTTAAGGACGTTTATTGGCAAAACGCCTAAGAGAAACTTGAAATTATATTTTGAGAAGGAAATGGAGTTATCACTATTACGTTTACTGACCAAAGATAGGGATGTATGGACTTTTACTAGTGCTTTTTTTATTTATGGAGGATATGCAAATCTGTTTTAAAACCATATACAGGAGAATAGGCAGAAATGAAATTGTATTTTAGAGCCTTGTAGCAGCTGTAAGAATAAATGTCATAAAAAATCAGCAAACTCCTCCAAAATCCCCAAGCTTCAAAAGTACCTCCACGTGGCAGATTCAGGATTCTGTTAAATATATTTTATTGCGTGACAGATACTTATTTACTTATATAAATATAAAGGTCCATATATATGTTGTGATGAATCAGTAGCTTTTTTAGTCGATGTGGGCAAATAAAATGTGGTCAGGATGTTTAAGTCTGCTAAAATGTTTATAGGAGGGCTGGCTCTTGGAAAAAGTTTCCCACCGGATGCAGTGGGTGTCAGGTCTAAAGGTCAGCAGCAGAGAGTAAAGAGAAGAATCTTTTGCATTTATTTTTCTCCACATTTTTCAAACAAGCATTGTGTAAAGAAGCAGAGAATCTTTCTTCCTAAATTTCCAAGTGCTAACAGGCACTTGGAGGTTTGTTCATACTTCAGCTGTTTGTTGTGAGCTTCTTTCTTTAAGAGAGAGGAAAAAAATCCCAAACCCTCAGTGCAGTTAATACATTCATGAACTCTTAGCACGGAAGTTCCTAGTGTAAGTCATAAAAGCCAGATGGAGTTTTAAGTGACTGTCATGTACAACTTGGGGAATGAACATTCCTGCTACTAATCAAGGGCCAGATTGGAGCTACGTAATTAATCCCAGTGTCCTTTTCAGTGCATGATGAGATTTGGCTGCAACAGCCATGGAGCTAATAGAGACAACTGTCAGGTCCTATGAAGCTGTGGATTGTTTGCCTAAAATGAAAATACCTGTGTGCTTACTCTGGTATGTATCTTCTGGTGATTAGTGCTCAAATTGCAGTTTATATGGGGAAAAAATGAATGTGAATAGTGGCTTTGTCTTGAATCCATCCCATCTTAAATATGGATGTAAATATATTTATACATATATTTAATATGTATAATTTATCTGCATGCATATAATATATATATAAGTGGTTTTAAAGCAAAAGATAAATATATAGGGCTTCTTTGAGAGTTACATGGCAAAACCTTTTCTAAATTTGAGTTGATTTGAAATGTAATGATCTTACAATGAAGTTTATCAGTCAGTCTTAGAATGAAGTTTATTCCCTCTGTGTAGCAGTGTCCTGAAGGAAGTGTGCAGAAAAGTGCCAAAAAACCCCCTTATGAGATGGCACAAAGTCTGTGTCAGATAGAGACAGGAGGAGGAGTGGGCAGATGGCAGTCAGTATAGAACACGTGAATAATCAGATTGAGAACAAGCTGAGTAGACTGGCAGTGTGCTGTTGCATGCTGCTGCATTTTGGGGACATGCTGGGGATTTTTTCTGTTGTGATCACTCTTCCATACTCAGGAGAGGTAAAAGTCTTCAAGCTAGAAGTATTATGAGGGTGAAGGCATGCCCACCAGAGTCAGGGGAACTTCTGGGATGAGGGAAAGGTCAGTGCTTTCAGAACTATCAAGACTGGAAAACATTAAAAAAATCTCTTCAATTTGTTATAGACTTCATCTGCAAGTGTTTTCAGATCTACCTTTGGCATGCATCACATGGAATAATATTAAAATGATCCAAAATCTTAGTGCCTGACCCTCTGGGATGACAGATTTGTTTCTTTTTCTGAAAAGGTCTGAAAGGTAGTAAGAGTTATTTATGATAAATTGTTTACATAACTTACTTTATCTAATTTATTGGAGAACTCTTTGGGTGGCTGTGTGGCCTGAGTGTTCATTGCCTGGCTCAGTGGCCTTTTCCAGATTGTTGGTTGGATGCCCTGTTGGAGTGTGGGATGGAAAGAAGAGCAGGAGGGATGGCTGCACTGGTGAATGATTGATCCTGTAACCTCTCGTGCAATGAAAAGGATTATAGAAAAAAATAAATCCAGAAATAGAGCAAAAAAAGCCCTCCTTGCTTACTGATTCTTACTTGAAAAAGGTTATAATATCAATTTATAATAATAATAAGATATACATATGGAAAAGAGTGTATAGAGATCTAGTTGATCAATAGTAACTTGGTTCTGTTTGTATTTGTTTCAAAATGTTCCTGTTTTCTTCTTTCTCAGAAAGTTCCATAGGCTAGAAGAGTAGTGAACTGGTCTAACTGGAGAATGTCCTACTTCCCGAAAAAGAGGCATTGTCTGAGGTGGCATTTGAATGGAAGGATCACAACACACCTTTCAGTTTAAAATTTATTTAGTACAGATAATTTTGCATGCCTGCAGTTATCCTTTAGTAATAACAATTTGTTCCTTATACACTGTCTTAGCATGCCTCAGTCTGAGCAACAGCAGTAAAGAGTTTAACAGCACAAGAAGGTAGAGCAAATGTGGTCTGTATTTTTTGCAGAAGTGAAGGTTAGAAAGATAAAGGGAAAATGATTAAAATATTCACAAGAAGTGCCCTAGATAAGATTGTTTCGTGTCTCAGGGCATGAGGAATCCTGTGGGAATGAGGAAGCTAAAAGGCTGTTTAATTCTGATGTTTCACACTGAATCAACATGTTAGATATCAAAGTGGTATTAGTGAAATTTGTAAGAACATGGACATTTTATGTAAAGAATAGAGAAATAAAGTAAGTTGGTCCAAACCAAATCCTTTGCTGTATCTGAGCTATGCAGAGAATGAACATTGGAGGCTTAACGTGAGTATAATAAATCAAACTGCCAGCTGAGCCTCAGAGGGCTTTATTCATGCACTTCATTGTTCTCTCTGCACTCCAGCAGGGTTCAGCCAAACGCAGGGCTGTCATTCTGCAGATGTTCAGAGTGTTCCCAGTGTTCTGGGGCTGAGCTGGTGGCTCTGTGTTGTCCCCTCTGCTCCGAGTGGCCTGCTCTGACTTCCATGGGGGCTCTCACACGCAGAGATCACAGTGTGAGTTTGCAGGTGTGGGTGAGTGGGGAGCTGTGGTGTTGTGTACTGTTGATAACTCCCAGAAAAGGCTCAGATCTGTAGCTTCTGGAAAGTGCTTTTTGGCAGCAGAAGATGCCCTGCTGACTCTCTGCAGCTTGGCAGAAAATGTTCCTCAGCACATGAGCTTCCAAAGCACCTCTCTCAGGGTACTTCTTGGGGCTGCTGGCACAGAGCAGGTTTTTAGCCTTCACCAAACTGTCTCCTTTCCCTATGTCCTCAGTACCAGGCAAACAAAATAATGAAACAGAAGGCAGACTTGTTAAATAAGATTGAAATGGGAAACAAAAGGGTAAAAGCAGAACAGACAGAAAATTGTGTTCTGGTTTAACACATGGTGACACAGCTGGTTGTTCTTACCTAGAGTTCCAAAGCATTCTTCATTTGATTTCAGCTAGTCGCTGCTGTTGGGCTTGACAAGACAGTAGTGTTTGCTTTAAGTATTCCAAGTTAAAATTACTGAGTTTTCCATCACATCTTCCTTTCTTTTGCCTCATCCTCACTCGGGCTCTGGCTGGAGATGGCACCTTTGTGTTGAAAGAGTTGCTTTTCCATTCTGTCTCTATTCATTTTGCTGGCTGGCTGGTCCATATTTGATATGCATCAGTACTTTAATGAACATGCTTGCAACATGCTCATACGATTAGTGTAGTGTGTTTTGTTAACTCCATGTTTTCTGGGAGTGTCTTGAGCGTTTTATACAGATCTCATGTGATACATTTTTAGCCGTGCTGATAAACTTTAACTAAATTATCTGATTATATACAGATTATGCTTGTAAATAAATATTCTTTCTCATCTTCTCCCTAGTCTGCTTCTTTTGGAGTTCTGCTTATCTTAAATTATCGTTCAGTAAACTTGCCCAGTAAAACTTTAACTTGAAAGCAATCAATATTTTACTCACTTGTAGAAGGCTAAGTAAACACATTTTTTCCTTTCAAATTAGGTTAAGATAAGAAATACTACAGCTAACTAATTTTTAATATTAGTTTGACAGGTGTATACTTTATCCCAGTACAACAAAGGCAGTGTGGCAGTGTTCAGGAATGTTTTTCTTGGCAGTGGTTCTGTGAGCATAACCCTTGGATCTCCCTGTAGGTCAAGGACAAATTTCAGAGAGCCCTTTGCAGTGGGATAACCAAGCTGTCTGCTCACAGGATCAGGTACTTTCAGGTCACTGGAACATTGGGAATGTTCTGGTTTCAGGGCAGCCAGTTTTTCTGCAGCCTGGCCCTCATCTGTTCTGAATATATCAAGGGAGTATTTCAAGGAAATGCTAAGGAAGGTGAAGGTGACTTCTAGGGCTTTGTGAAGATTGGTGTGCATATCTCTAGCTGGACAGAATTTGCAGTGTTGAAACTTGACTCAGCTGTGATAGAGGACAGATTCTTCTTTTACAAGGAAATCTGTGATATTTTCTTAAACTACTCATCTGTCAATTTTGACTTCCTTTCTTTTTTTGATTACTCTGACTTGAAAAAAGAGTTTCCACATCTGATCTAATGATTTAATATTTTTAATTACAAAATAAATGTAGTAGTTGATATCCTCAGATATTATATGATTAGGCACGATTGTTTGGTCTTGCATTCTTCATTTGATTTCAGCTTGCATGACTGCTTTGAGTTCAGAAACCTAATTAAAATTTTATTATGAGTTTTTTGCTTTGAATATGGTGACTGAATTACTTGTCTTGATAAACACACCAGTTAGATCAGAATCTGCTAAGCTGATGTTTCAGTTAAGAGTCAGGTTATGCCAAATATTAACTAGAAGCATCTAAAATCCCATCTAAGTATAATGAATCTGTGTACTTAAACATTCCTTGGTTCTAACAGACTGAGGAAGCTGTGATTCTGTATGTTAATGTGAAGTTGCATATTGCATGATCAGGGAGAAGTTTGGTTTGTTTGTTGCTCTTTGTTACACAACATGAACTTCAGTGTGAAGTTCCTTCTTGTTGTAGTTAATGGTACCTGACTTCTTGCTTATGTAGAAATTAAGGAACAAGACCTTTATTTGCACAGCTTGAATTGCTGTAATGTGTAATGCTACTTGTAAATGTCTCCTGAGAGTATCAGACACCCCAGTAAAACCCAACCTCTGCTGCAATTTTCAAAGACTCTTAATCATTAATTTATTTTGGGGGGGTGGTGGGAGAAGGGGTAATGTTTTCTTAAGTTGCCTGCTTTAAATGAGGTCACTACTAGTTTTCTGTCAGTTTACTGGTACACTATAAATCTATTTCTTAATAGTTTAGGCAGTTTATAATCTGCTGGTAACTTGAACTACGTGGCTGTTGGCTTCAGTCATTTATTCCTCTGTAGAATCAAGTTATTTTAGCTGTCTGGTTAATCTTTGCACAGATGGGACTTGCAGGTCATTGGAGGCTGAAGCACTGTGGTGTACAGGCTATTGATAACTCTCTGGTGTTTCCTGTCTTTCAAGCTACTGGTTTAAGTTTGTAAATATAATTAGTTTGAGGTGTTGTACTTTTAAGTAGTATTTTAGTTAAGCTGGTATTTGCAAGAATAAATATTAGCTTTCACTTGTGTTCAGAGCTCGACAGATTTTGCCAACTCTGATTCTCTGTTTCCTGCATTTAAGTGGAGCCTAAGGCAGCTGACTGTGGCTTTGTGAAGAGTGGTGAGTTTTGGTGCTTGAGTTTATTGTATACAAATGACTGGAAGCCTGTGTTTGCAGCATTTCTTTCAGTGTGCATTTGTAGGTCTCATTGTACAGGTCAACTTTTAGCAATTTTCACAAAACCTACTTGTTCTAGAAATGCTACTGCTGATGCTTTCTGCTCTAGCACCAGCTATATTTGAATGTTTCACTTTGAAAGATTACAAACTACACATGAAATTGTCTTTTTTTTTAATGGAATTGATTGCTGAGAGGAATTTTTTGATGTTTTTACAGCATTTCTGTTGAGGTAATATGGTCTTAGCTCTTTCAACAGGTGAAATAAGTCTTAAGGACTGTTGCATCCTTGCACTTCAAACCTCTTTCAGGGAACAAGTCTGGTTCATGAACTGAGTATGGCAGGATTCCTATGAGGAGCCATATGTTTGCTTATTTTTCTATTTTTGTAAACATTATATATGCAAATATGGTGAAATGAGGTGGGCAGCTTTAATTAATTTCTTTAGCTGATTTATTATGCTTGATGCCTAACTTTAATGAGCCTTATTTCAGGCTCTTATATGGAAAATAAAATCTGTAGTGCAGAAACTCCAGATTTAATGACATTTTTGTGTGGGAGCTCTACACTTGGGCTTGGCTTGCATCACTCATGCTAATTCTGCAGAGCTGTACCCTTGACCTGATGCTGTAAGTGCTGCTCATGTGTCAGCAGCATGTGTGTCATTTCCAGTCAGTGAAGGAGGACAGAACCACATCCTTGGCTGGAGGTTTTCTCAGATATTTTTTCAGGAATATTAATATTCAGCAACATGTTATACCAGCAAAGTCCTCAAGGGAATTTTTGCCTGAGGTGCTTTAAGATGCTTCTGGTTACTCAGAAAGGTTTTTGTGTATTCTTGTGTTCCTTTGGTTTCCCTTGGCCTCCCTAAGGGCTGGGTGCTTTCAGGACTAACCTGCACTGTACCAAGTACTGGCAAGTGGAGCTTTCGGAACAGAAAACAGACTTGGGACTCCTTCCAGCATTTAGGAAAAGTGATTGCTGTGGAATTGCTCAGCTGATTTCCATGGAGGTGGAGTCTGCTGACTGTGTTTGGCACAGAAGCCTGTGGGAAGAGCTCCATGTTAATGTGCAGTGTTAACAAAAGAGGCTGAAGGACAGTGTTCAGACTTGCAGTGGGGGTGAGCTTCAATGCAGAGGCTGAAAAGCAACTTGATGTTCCTCTGCTGATTTGTTGTTTTGTTTTTTGTTTTTTTTTTTTTTCGTAAGTGTCAGGTTCCTCTTGCAAGCCAGGGAAGTATTGAAGCTGCATCTGAATGGTTGCAAAGTTAATGCGACCTTTAAGGAAGTGTGGTTTTGCCAAATTAATTTGTTGTTTACTCTTTCTCTGAGATCTACATCTTGTTATTTTACTGTTCCCCACTGAAAATGTTGATATCAAATGTCTTAGGTATTTCTGTATTTTTAGGGGGCCAGGGGAAGGAAAGGTTCTGCTGTGGTTAAACATTTTCACCTATCTTGGTTTAGGACTCCATCACCACCAACACAGGCAGTCCTGGCCCATGCAGTACCTTCCTGATTGAGCTGCTCTCCAGTGATTGGAATCATCTGCCTTCTCTTGCAGAAAACTTATCTTTTTTCCTCTATTTTTTCCCCAGGATAATTTTGCAGCTAATATAGTGGTTGTCCAAGTAAATTGCATCATGAAGTCCAAAAATTCCTGGAGCAGTAGAGGAAGTAGGAATCCCTCGGCTGGAAGACAGAGAACATGACTACCCTTCTGTCACTGTGCTTTTGTTCAATTTAAACCATCCTGAAAGTGTACCAGTAGTCAGCCTCTGTGGTGTGAGTATTCTTTGCATGCTTTTGGAACAGTCATTGTGCAACAGCCTCCCTCATTAAGATAATTACAAAGCAATACTAAGTTGCATTAAATGATGTTCTTATTGCACAGTTGTTTTCCGTTTGAGGTACGACACAAAATTCAGCTGCACGCAGTTGTTATATTCTTGTATCACTCTGTATTTTGCAGAGCTAATAAAAATTAAGATTGAAAATTAAGATTAAAATTCAAGATTAACTTGAGAACAACTGTGTGTTGTTATCCCCAGAATGCCTGTCACTGTAGGCTGGGTACTGGCATTCTTTGCTGCTGATCCTGCTGAACATGCAAGTCATGTTTTGGAAGAATCAGAATTGAAGCCTGTGCTTCTAGACTTCACTGATGGGTTTGGCTTGTGGACATTTAGACGTTAGGCAGGATTAGAGCCTGTTCTAAAATGAGATACCTTGTGGTGTGTGTAGTTTAAATATTGTCTTCAGCACAAACTGTGGTTTCACAGATCTCCTCCCGTTGCACACAACCCACTTATGTGGGCAGAGGATTGGGGTTTGTGTTTTTTTAAGAGGACAGCTTTAGTTAGTTAACCAAAGGTATGAAAAGCATCAGTCAGCTCAAAGAAGAGAGATTGTTTTAGCTACTAATCTTGATAAAATTGAGTAGCTCTCATTGTTAGTTTGAAACTTGATGTCAGCATAGGAATTTCAGGTTTGCTGCACCAGAAGTACCCAAACCCCCAGATTTTAGTATTAGATAATGATCTAGATTTCCCCTTCACCAAGCTATTTTGTTGGTTGCATTGAATTGTTGCTTAAACTGCACTGTCGTGGGAATGAGTTGTAGGAACCAGTCCTTCTACTCCTGAGTTACTTCTAAACTGATTGTTTACTGTAAATGGTTTAATTCTGATTATTACAAAAGCCCTGCACTTTTAGGATGACTGAGAAATAGTTTGGGTCATACTGTCCACCTTCAGTATTTAGTTTATGATGATTTGAAAAGCTGTATTCAGTACTGGGAGGAAACAAAAATTAGATTTGCAGGGAAAAAAAATAGAGGCTGAAAATCAGTAGTCAGTCCTTAAATGTAAGGCATCCCTGTGTACTGCTTCAGTGTAACATTTTAAAGTTTTCATGTTCAAAATAGTGCATTGTAGGAAACATCCTGCCGCCTTTTTCAAATTTGAGGGAGTCCCTGCCTGCAAGCTAAGTAAAAAATATCGTTCATGTTGCTTGTTCTTTAATACACTGGCATAAAATTATAATCTTGAAGCGTTCTTTTTCTGGAAGAACATTGAGTCATCTGCAGAAGTGACCATGGGATAGTGTTTGGCAGCATATTTAAATACAGTAGGTTTAGGTATGCAACTTCTATATTCTCTGTAATTTATTTTGAAAAAATATTTGGCATCAGCAGATAAAAGTAGTGTTAGCATCAAATATTTGTGATTTCAGAACTGTTGGACCTGCTGGCAGTGGAATCTATTGATAACACCTGGTTATTTATAGAAAAGACTGTACTGATGTAATCTATGGATAGTTATATGTCCAATATTGACTTCATTATGTCTGAGGACAATTATATAAACAAGGCTGTAGTTGCTGGAACCATATCACAGGAATTAATGGGATTATGGAGTTGCAGGTGTAATGGTCAGAAAAGCCTTCTGGGGGTCTCTGGTCCAACCACTCATTCAAGGCAGGGGTAGAAGTAGCACTGGATGGGTTAAGTCATGGCTTTGACCCCTGAAGCTGTTAAAACCCCCAAGAACAGCAAACCAATGGCCTCCATGTGAAACCTGTACCTGCTCTTCACCACCCTCCTAGTGAAAAAGATTGTCATTGTGTCCAACCTGAATATTCCATGGTGCCTCTTGTGGCCATTGCTCTTCCTTATCCTGTCTGCCAGGGCTGAGAGTGTCTTCACTGTGTTTACAGCTCCCATCTTGGTGTAGCTGTAGGCAGCTCTCAGATGGTCCCAGCATCCTGTGTGCCAGAGAAAACAGGGCCTGACTCCCTCTGCCTCTCCCTGTGGATGATGCCCCTGAGGCCCTTGACCACTGGATACCCATGGCTGGACCCTCCTTGGTCCCTCAGGCTCCTGCTGGAGTGGGGTCCCCACCTGGGCCCCAGATGTGTGCAGAGTGGCCTTGCCAGGGTCCAGCCAGGCAGGGATCACCCCTTTCCCTCTGTCTCCTGTCCCCTCCAGTGTCTGCCCCAGTGCCTGGGCCCTTTCCTGCAGGGCTGGTGCTGTGCCAGCCCCCCCAGGCCTGTGCTGGCACTGTGGGCACAGCTTTGCTTTCCTGCCCTGGGCCTGATGAGGTTTGGTTTGGCCCCATCCTTGTGTTTCTCTGTCTATGTTTATGTTTGTGGCAGTGCTGCCATTCCCTGTGGGAGCCCTCTCTTCCCCTCTCCCCTCCATTCCTGATCCCCTGCCAGTTTGCTGAGGGTGTGCTCTGCCTCAGCTTCCTGGGTGCTGGGGAGTGTCTGGGGCTCTGGGGTGGCCCCTGGAGTCCTCCCTGGCCAGGATGCAGCTGGGTGATCCGGAGATCTGGCCAGTTTTCCAGGCCAGCTTCCCTTCTCTTCATGGAGCTCTGGGCACCTCAGACTCCAGCTGAGCTGTGGTGGGAGACCTGTCCTGAAATCAAAGAATGTTCTCTGGGCCATTCAACTTTCAGAGCCCCCCAGGAGTTGGCTGTGCTCTGCCTTTGATAAATATTTGTTAACCCCTTAAGATTATCAAAATTAATTTCATCCAGACTTCTTCCATGTTCCTTCCAGAGAGTGATGGGACTCTGTACTTTTGAGTTCTCAGACATAAGGATGGTGGGAACCTCCTGTGGATGCTGTGATGCTTTAGTAGGTGACAGCACTCACAGACACATGGTGTGATTCATGGGTGTCCTGTGCAGGGCCAGATATTGGACTTCATGATCCTGATGGGTCCCTTCCAAATCAGGATATTCTATGATTTGATGAATCTTGGCATAATGCTGCATAGAATATAGAAAAAAACCCCAACTAATTTAGTGGTTGGTAAGCAAAATTTTTAACAGTCAGTATGAAAATCAAAAATTATTTTCATTATTTAGGAAAAATAAATTCCTACTAAAAGTTACTTCTGTCTTCAAAAAGTTTTATGCCTTTTATTGTATTAGTCCAGTAACTAAATTTCAACTCTTATGTTGTTCCAAGTAGGGAAACATAACTCAAATTTATCAGTTATACTCCCAGAAAATTTACAAACTAGGAAAGTCTATTTTAATCCTTGTTTGTTATAAATTATTGAAGGAGGTGGCTTGATTCTGGGGGAGATGGTGTTTGAGAGGCTCTGAAAGCAGTAATTTTCCAAGTCTATTTGTCAGATCTGATGTAAGATTGATTCTATAATATGGAGTTAATGTTTTCAAAATGAGCTACTTGGCCAGCACCCTGTGTCTGGTTCCAATTACTGTCAGTAAATCCTGAAAATTATTTTCTGAGACAGACTTGGTGAAATCTGCATTTTAAATAGAGATAATCAGTATTAAAGTAGTTGAAAGGAGTTTTGTAATATTTCATGCTGCATGGTTTTGGTTTTGAGATTGTTGATTCTGAAGTGGGTGCCATGGCTGTGCTGTTCTGGCGTGCACTGTTTCCTCTGTGGAAGCAGGATTACGAGCATGCTTAAAAGGATGGATCTCCTGAGTATTATTGCAAAACAAGTAATTGACTTTCTTTAAAAAAAAACAAAAACTTCTGCATAAGAACAAAGATGTTTTGTAAACCCAAGTGCTGTGTACTTATCTGATGTTTGTGACTTGCATGCTTGCTGGGTTGGGCTTATTTTCTTTGAAGTAATTTTTAAAAGTGAATATGCTCTGGGAGCAAGGTTAGGATTGATCCTGGTGTATAGATGGCTTCTCAGGCTGATATCCCTCAGGATTTAATTGCAGTGAAGCAGTTGAGCTCTCTAACAGCAGGGAAAATAGGTGGTTGTGACACTGTACTTTCAGCAGAATCTGCAGGCTGCAATAGCAGCCTCCAGACTCTGCTTTCAAAATTCAGTGTGATGATGCCAGGACTTGTCATATTTGCAACTATACTCATTTGGAAGGATTGGAATACATTCACAGAGGATTATCCTTAAAATGGGAGCATTCCCTGTGGATCTCTTGGTGGCCTGGCCCTTACCAGCTTCTGCAGCAATTTAGTAATTGCTGCAGACTTAGTTGTTGGACCCTGCTGATAGCAGACTGTCCAAATTTGCCCTTGTTCAGCAAGGTAAGCAAAGGGACTTGGAATGTCTGCTTGCAGTTCTCTGCTTGTTCCCTTGCAGTGTTACAGAGAACTATTGTTGGCAGCTGATATCACCAGAGAATTATAATTGCAAATGTGAGTGAAAAGTCATTAAGTGAAGGAGTGTGCTAAATGTGTCATTGATTGGAGTCTGGGACACCAGACTCAATTGATATCCACTCAAAAGAACCCCAAACAACCAACAACCTACTTAACAAGTGACATATTTATATAGATTTTTTTGATTTCTGTCTTTTTGGGAAGGTTTTTCCATCTGTGCTCAGCCATGTTTGAGTCAGCAGGTGTGGAGGGCTTCAGTGAACTTACTACAAATAATTCAATCTTTACCATTCCTGGTATTTAGATTACTTTTTAGAGGGCACTGCAATGAACATCTGTAAGGTGTATTCCTAATTTCTATTTCTTGTCAAGTTGAAGGTTGTTTTTTGTCCTTGTGCTTCTGTCTTCCACTCTCTTAGAGCAATCAGATCACTGGTATAAATTTTTTGTATTTTTTCAGGTTGGAGGATCTTCTGAATCTTATGCTTTAAAGATGCCTTTAAAATGAAAGAGCCCAGATTTACAGGCAGTTTTGTCATCTTGGATCTGTGAAATTGGTTACCCTGGAAGAAGAAAGGACAGATTATGGGCCTGTATGAGGAGTTGGAAGACTTCAGTATAATGTGGAGATATGTCAGGGAGAAGGAGCTGGAAGTACTTAGTGATTTGTTCTAATAGTTTATTATTAAATATCTGCGACAATCTGTCCCCCATTGAGCAATCTAGTTTCTCTGTAGATCTTTACCAGGAATGAGGCAAAATTTTTACCAGGAATGAGGCAAAAGTTCCTTTCCTGTAAGAGAGAACAAAAGAGGTAAATAGCTGAAACTATGAAATTAAAACTATGGATAGCAGTAATGAGTTACAATGTCAAACCTACTGAGGTTGTATAATCAAAATTTCTTGCTGACATTGAGGAAGTAATACTTCAATGAAAACTTGAGGGAAAGGATGGAATCTTTATGTAAAATCTGGCCTAATAAATTCATAATATTCATATTTCTCCTCTAATTTTGTAGTTCTGGTTGTTCATGTTTCTCTTGTGCATTGGGATGAGGCTGTCCTGCTGGAAAAATTTAAAATCTAGAAAGTGAAAATAACAGTGAATGTTGCTCTATGTCCTGTAGCAATATAAACAGCTGGATGACTGTGTACTGAGGAAGAGAAATACAAGTAAGGGTGGTAATGCTGTTTCTTTTTTTTCCTGTTTTGATTGCAGGTTAACCTTCTAGTTGGGACTTTATGGGGGTAATTCATTATGCTAACTTTTTAGTGGTAAACGAGTTTTACAATTTTTTAGCTCATTTTTAAAGCAAAATGACCTTGAATTAGCCACTTCCTACCTCCTGTGGTGGCTGTGGAGATTACCAGTTACTGCAGAACTTCCCTGAAATAAAGACTTAATTGGCCTGAATGACATCTTGGGTATGGTACTCCACCCCATGGAGAGCCAAGATGCTGCGCCATAAATAAATATATGGTTTCTTTAGGCTGAGCTGTGTGCGCAGCCAGAGGAATATGAGACTTCTGGTGGGGAAGAAGGGGGTATGTAACTGCTGCCATCATTGAGGCAGAGCACACTCAATTTATGACTTTTTCGAACTTTGTTCAGACTAAGATGTGGGGCAATCTTGAATCAGGATCCGAACTTTTATTTTGTCTCACATCATTATCCTTTTTCAGTAGTTTGTCCTCCGTAGAACTCCTTTTGTCAGATAAAAATAATTAATTTACCACACAGACTTCTGTAGTTTGTTCTACTGAAATAATTTCATATGGTATATGCATCCAGCCCTCACTGAAATTCCATCTGAGGTGTGCTAGTAACATTCTACTTTCATGCTTTCCTGGACATTTTTAAAATAACAAAGACACTTTTTTTCTTCTTTCTTTACAATTGGCAGTGTTAGATTTAATCTTTCATTTCTTTAGAATTCATGTCCCAGTTTGAAAGGTCTTTTTCCCTCTTGTGCTGAATTTATTAGTTGCACTGTGTAAGTATTAGTGATCAAAATAAGCTGAACATGTTTTTCTGAAAATACACAGGAAATGCAGTGTCAAAGCTACTTGTATTCACTTCCTACTTCACTGTAATGCCTCATGATGGGTATTGTTAACTTGTAGTGCTGCAGTGAACTCTGTGTGGGTGTCAGAAGTTCATTGCAGTTCACAGTGGAACCTCTTGATTTCAACTGTGAAGTTCTTCCTACTGTATTTCAATTTGTGTGCAGTTCAAGGATCCCTTTAAGTAGTTAGGTTTTAATGTTTAATTCTCAGTTCTCTTCTGGTTAATATGCATGACTTCAAAAAAAAAAAACCTCATGGCAACAGTGAGCATCTGTCTGCCTCTGTCATTTCTCATCACTCTGTGCTTGCATCAGGCATCTCAGGCTAAATTGCTTTGACTGACAGATGGACTGACTGACAAGATCTTGGCTCCAAACACACACACAGAGCATGCACACACAGGCAGGCTCCTTGGGCTCCATTCACATTTCATTATTTTTATGTGGCAACTGAGGCCCCAATACACTGAGTTTCAATGGTGATGGTGGTAGTAGAGTGAGGAAGTCTTAAGATGTGGGGGAAGAGAAGGAGGAAGATCTTTGGCTGTTTGCTTCCTCACCCTCTTCCTTTCTTCTTTCTCCTCCTTCCTGTCTTGCTGGACTTTTTGCTCAAGGTGCTCATGAAAGGTGCAATAGAAGTTCTGTGTGACTGTTAATTAATGATGGAGGTTTGGGAAAATTGCAGATCATCAAAACTTACTGCATCGCTTTGATTTGGAACTGGTGGATGAACACAGTGTTCTAATGATGTCTCTTCTAAATCCTGACTTTTCCATGAGGGAAATCCTATGAGGGTTTTTTAAAGTATCATGCATATTGATCAGAAGAGAATTGAGAATTAAACATTAAATCCTAACTATTAAAGGGACTCTTGAACTGCACACAAATCTAAATACAGTAGGAAGAACTTCACAATGGAAGTCAACAGCCAGCATTCACAAATTTTCTGGTAGTTAAATAAGGATTTTAATTTTTCTTTGTTGTTGCTGTTCTGGAGTATTCACAGCTGAGGAACAATTCCTAGGAGGGTGATCTTATGTTGCTGTTAATAACAAAGAAGTAAATTTCAGGTGTCAGAAGGACTTCATGTATTATTGAAGATCTGCATCATTCATTGTGTTCTCTATGTGGGGACTTAGGAGGGGACTTCACACTTCAAAGAATGCTATCTTTTATTACTGTTCTCAAGAGAAACAATTAAAGGCATTAACACAAGCCAGCAGCCAAATTCTTCAGCTTATGATGATATTAGAAAAAATCCTGGCTATTTTCAGGGCTTGTAGTCTTTATGAAAACAAAAAGGCTATGCCATTAAGGAAAATTGGAGTATGCTCTCTACTTTTTTGTTTGAAAAGAAGAAAGTGGTTGGGAAAATTGCTGAAGAGGCTTCTTAATGAATGTATGGCTTCAGTTTTGACTAAACTTTTCTAGAAATTGGTGTCTTTCAAGCACGTAGTTGTACTGTCACCTGTAATGCCTCTGCCTTTTTCAACACCATGTTTGGAAATGAAAATTTCAACTCCTTTTATACAAATATAATTCCTTTGTAAGATGTTATGCAGGTATTTATAGTTGATAGTGAATCCAATAACGCACCAAGAGATGTCATTTTCATGTAGATTGGCATTTTTGTTATGATGTATTTGGTAAAACAAAACCAGGTTGTGGAGAGTTTGTTCTCTTTGGGCAGGTAACATTGTAGTAACCTTCATTATTCCTTAAGAAGTATTAAAGAAAGCAACCAAAGAAATGGCTCATTGCAACTTAATGCTCAGCAGCCTTATTAGTCAAATACCATGTGCCTACCTCTGCATGAAATAGCCTATTTCTTTCCAATGTAAAATAGGAATTTTCAGTTTTGGAACAGCCTGAAGAGGCCTTTGTTGCAAATGACCGCTGGCTTTTTAGTTATTTATTCTCAAAAGTAGTGAAGGTCAGCATGGTATCCACAGTGACTGCATGCAGCTTCCCCATTAATCTTGGCATGCTGCTGCAATAATGAAATTCACTTACTAGTAACAATTTCTTGTGTTGCAGAGGGAAACCTTTCTTTGAAAACTGGATGTGAGTGGGTTTCTGGAACTTGAGAAATCTTGAATACAGTAGTTTTTCTTCAGTTTCAAACACCTTGTCATAATTTCTGGTTGTATGAGTTACTGTGGAGCTCTAAAGAGAGAACAAGCAACCTTGAATTGCTGAAGTTTATGTAAAATCTGGCACTGGAAAACTTGTGACTTGAAAAATTATTTTCATTTGGAAGTGATAAGGACTGCTAAATGGAGAATATATCATTCTGCTTGCAGCTCTGTTAGTGGGAGGAAGGCATTCTGCTATAAAGTACAAAATTAAGGCTTCTAAGTAGTTTGTGAATATGGTCAAGCCAGAATGGTTGAATGCTCCCAATTCCACGGCGTGAAATCAGAGCATTAGGGGAAAGTGCAACAGCCAACTGAGTGAAATGCTTTTAGTAAATACTTCAGTGTAAGTATTGAATATTGTACAGTGTAAATACTAAATTTTAATATTATAAAGGTTCTTTTAACTTGGAGAAAAAAATTATTGCAGACTTGAATGCAAGTGTTGTGGGAGTTCTGATGGGAACTTGAAGATGGGGAGTGAAATGGTTCCATCCTGAGGTTGCTTTCCCTCACATCCCATTTTGCTCCTTTAATGCTTACCCAAAGAGAGTAAGTTTGGTTTGGGTTTATTTAATCATTTGGTTGTAATGGAGCTTTAAACTGATCAGGAAGGATTCTGACCTTGAGGGTAAATATTTTTAGAATTCTGTCTAGTTTCTGTTTCTGGTATTTTTTCATTAAGAATATGGCTTGTTTTTGCTTCTGTCTTTAATTTTGCATAGAGCTGTATTTAAAATGATAAATATTTATGAGAGAATAGCCATTTTCAAAATTCATGGGAAAGTTCAAAGTGGAAGTCTGTTTTTGAGAACTCCACGAATGAGTCTATAGGGAAGTAAAGTTACTGTATCTTTAAAATAATAATTATTTTATATCTGTTTTAAATGTATAAATTAAATATATATTTATAAATAAATATAAATAAGAATGAATCTGTTTGAACCTAGAGAGGTCTCAAAATGCATATTGAAATTGAGAATTTTTCATCTAGTTGCTACATTTAGAAATGTTAATTTAATGTAAATTGTGTGTGAATCTAAAACTATTTTTGCTACTGAATGTAAAAACGTTTTCTTCAATATTAGCTGCACAGTAATTGGCTGGAATGCTACAGGAGCTAGTCTTAAACCCTTTCTTTTTTTATTTCCCTCTCCTAGAGGTGAGCAGCTGCCCTGCACCCAGGCCCTTGCAGTGATGTATCATAGTCTGTTGCTGTAAACATCCCCGACTGGAAGCTGTACCAGCTCCAGCTTTCAGTCAGATGTTTGCTGCACCTGGCTATGCTTGGACAACAGCAGGAGGAGAAGCTGTCATGAATCCATATGTGCATTTAGATTTGTCAAGCAGTGTTTCTGCAGACAGAGATGAATTGCCTCCCTGTGAATTATCCTGGCTGGTAGGTGTGACCTCTTGAAATCTGATCTGAAATGGAGATCCAAAGCTGGTGCATGCTTTGCTCAAAGCTGAGTTCTTTCCTGCTTTGTGTTATAAACTACAGGATTAGGCTTCCTTGGAATGACAAGGGGTGGTGAACTTCTGCAGTTCCCCTGAACCCTTCATTGCTTCACCAATGGTCTGTTTTAGCAGCTTCTCTTACTTTGGGCTGTGAGGATAAATTATAATCACTTCTGTCCAATACTTAGCAGGCCTCATATCTGCTGTGCCTTCCTTTTTTTTCTGTGGAATTTTGTATTCCAAGTCTCCTTTTGTGAGAAGATTGTGCTCCTGATTGTTAGCTGAGCATAACCCAAGACCAAAATAAAGGTTAAAAACATCACCCAGTCTGGTTTTGCTGTTCTCCCAATCC